CTTGAGCTTTATTAGGTCCTGAAACCAGACATTCTGGGTTTTGGCCGGGCTCGAGTCCCGGGAGAGAGCTGAAGGACAGGAGGAAAAAGCAGTGGGAAAAACGTGCCGAGGGATCCCCTTCATAGCCTGCTGGAAAATCTGCTAAATACCTGACCTGTGCTCACAGTTTTCATTGGCCTGATTCTTGGCACAGAGAAGAGTAAGGACAGAAGAACCCCCACTGGCTTGGGTAACAGCTACTGGGGCCCAGCAGATAGCGCCTTTGGGACATACTAAAGAGTAGCCTCTCAATTTCGCCCACTGCTGCCCGCCTGTTTGAGGGCAGTTCGAGGAAACAAGGAACGAGAGATTGTAAAGGAATTAAGATTTCGTTAGGCATGTTCCTCCAGCCATAGGAGCTAAGACGTATCTTAACCGGAGGTCTTCTGGAATCTGAGGCTGAGCCTTGTGAGCTTTCTGCCGAGTTCGTTTTTCGCTGTCTCAGTTTCCAGCACGATGGGCCTTCCCCTGTGCTGGGTTTTCTTTGCGTTCTGGGTTTTACCCCGGGAGCTTCACTGAGTTGGGCTTCTGCTGTGCCTGGCCTCTTCTGCTTTTATATGTTTTCTCCCCCCTGGGCCTGCCCTATGCAGATTGGGCTCAGCCAAGAGTGCTGTTCTACCCGAGTCCTCACTCCAGTCCTCGGATCTTTCTTTGTCCTTTGTTCTATTTTCGCGGGCTTTTCCCTTCCTTGTCTGTTAGCCACCATCATTTTGGACTCCTTTTCCCTATTCTAACTACCTAACAGGTCCAACCGGAAGACGGAGTCCTGGCAGGGATCTCTGGACCTGGCCCACACAGGGGACCCTTGCTCATGGCCCCCCTCCGCCCAGGGCCTTGGACTCCAGGCCTGATGTGGAGGCTCTGCCTCCCGTCCTTTGGGGGATTTCCAGGTCCAGACGTCTGCCTCCAAAATGCCAGCTGTTCACAGAACCCGGCCTTGGCTCCCACGTCCCTGTGCCCAGGGCCCAGCCCCGCCCTCCCTCTGCAGGGACTGGAGAGGGTAGCCCTCCGCCCCGGGTGGCTCTGTCTTCCCTTGACCTGGAGCTGCTTACGATTCAGTGGCTGTAGGAGACCACTGTCTCACGGATGGGCCCCGGCCTCGGGAGGCACGGGACTCCTGCTGCGTCGCTGTTTCGGTTCATTTCAGATTGTCTTCCTCCCCGTTTCTGTGCATTCCCTGGATTTACCTCTGAACTGCTTGAAACGTTTTCCTGGGTCCCTCCTCGGCGAGGGAAATAATGACTCTGACATGTGTGCATTTAACTGTTGGGCAGAGAACCGAGGCCGCGTGCCCTTCAGCCCCGACCTCTGCCCCACCAGGGCACCCTGTTTCCTGGGAAGCAGCACCCAGCTAGTGAAACACAGGGCCGGCCGCGGTGACCCCAGCGGCCAGCTTTAGAGCAGAAACCTGGTGGGGCTCTCTCCAGTGGACTGGGGTCAAGCGAGGCCCAAGCAGGGGTCCAGGTGGATGCCACCCTTCTCCACCTGACGCACATTTACGCCTTGCTTCTCCTCTCCCCAGCTTGGCCTGAATGCCGCTTTTTCCCACGAGGCTTCTGTCGGCCGGCCTGTGTGGGGTCCCGCTGGGACATGCAGGTGGGGGGGGAGGCAAGAACAGGCTGGCCCTCTGGTCCGTCCTCCGGGCCTCCTCAGCGCACAGCCGCAGGTCAGCGGGCTCCGTGGGCCGTGGCTGATTTGGCCTGTCCCAGGTCCGGGAGGCCTGCTATAGAGGCAGGCGGTGGTGAGGGCAGGGGGCGGGCTGTCCTGGGCTGTTTGATAGCTAGACCCGGAGCCTCTCAAGTCAGCGTCCCTCCCTCATTGTGCTGGGTGGGGGCGGGGGGGGGGGCACCCCAGCACCTGGCCTGTGCTGGGCACTCATTTGATATTTATCAAGTGAAGGGAGGGAGACAGGAGTGGATGAGGGGAAAGCCTTCTCCAGAGCCAACCTCACTCCGGCCAGGCAGCTCCCCTGCACAGACCTCACTGCATCCTCCCGAACCGGGGCTGGGGCTTGGCATGGCTCCTGTGAGGCCCCAGGCACCCATGCCCCCAGGGCTCTGCTCCGGGCCCTGCAACCTGGGCTTGGCCTGCTCCTTCCTCGTCCCAAACACCACCATCCCAGACCCCGTCCCCCATTTATCCAACCCAAGGACAGGGCCTTCGTCTTGCCCAGCTCCTCCCTCCCTCCTTCCCCACTGCCAAACCTGATGTGGCTCAGGACTGTGTTCATTTTCTGGTTTCCTATTTCTATCCTACTTCTGTCTCTGGCATCTCTGGGCCCCGGCTGTCCCAGGACTTGGTTAATCTTCATAACTACTGTAGGTGGCAGGTGCTGTTTTACAGGTGGGGAAACAGAGGCCCAGATGGGCTCAGTGATCTGCCCAAGGCCACACAGCGCTCCGCGGAGCTCAGAGCAGGGGGGTCCGTGGGACTGGCCACTGTCAGGCTGGCCACAGAAGGAGCAGCCTGGGCCTGGGGCCACCTGTCCGTGAGCACCTTGCTGTCCCCGCTCCCCCGTCCCATGCCCCTTCCCGGCATCCACAGGAGTGTCCCTGCCAGCCCAGCCTCTCCTCCCAGCCCCACGCCTGCCCTTGGGCGTCTGGGAGGAGAGTCAGGAAGAAAGGGGTGGGAAGGAGGGAGACAGCAGGAGGTGCGTGGGGTGGGGAGGCGCTTCTGCTTGGGGGGCTCTGAGGAGACAGACGCAGGAGCAGCTGGGGCTGGTGTGGGCAGGAGCCAGGCGGGAGGAAGCCTGCTAGGAGCACAGCCTGAGAGGTAGCAGGGTCTGGGAGCCTGGCGGGGCCCCTGGACACCTCGTGTTCTCTGCTGGCCTCGGCCACCTGGGTGCTCGGAGTGGAAGGACTCAAGGGGGCCCAGAAGCTCCTATCTGGCCTGACTCCGGTCTCGCCTCCGGTTGGCTGGCCTCCCCCGTGCGGCTGGCCCTTGGTTGGACCATGTGACCTTCCTCAAACCCAAGCCCCTCCCACTGCCACGGGGGCCAAGTGCCCCCAAAGCACCTCCTTGCAGACACCTCCCACCTCCGGACTGGCTGTTCCCCTCTCTCACTTGCCCTGAGACTGACAGGTTCCCAGCTCCACAACTCTGTGTCAGTCCCTCCACTGGGACACCTCTTCTTTGCTCCATGTCTGGCAAACTCCTATCTACGCGCCAAGCCCCAACTCCTATGCCCCTTCCTCTGCAAGGCCTGACCTGAATACCCCAGGCAGAAATGGGCTGTTGCCACTGGGCACCTGTCTTCTCGAGTGGCTGTCCGTTTATGACCGTCTCCCTGCCAGGCTGTGAGCCCCAGGGGCACAGACTGCCTTGTGGTCGTTCAGTCACTCGGTCATGTTAACTGTTTATGACCCCATGGACCGCAGCACGCCAGCTTCCCTGTCCTTCACCATCTCCGGGAGTTTGCTCATGTCCACTGAGTCAGCGATGCCATCCAGCAGCCTCGGTCACATCTTTCTCTCCCTTTCTCAAGCTAACGGGGTACAGTACATTCTGGGTGCTCGGTTATCATATGCTGAATAAATGAATGAGTCAGATGGAGACAGCCTGTCATGGGGAGGGGGGCGTGGGCTGCACAGGATTCAGAAGAGTCCATGTTGTTCCATCCTGTCTTCCCACCAAGACAGGCTCCAGCTGAAACTCGAGTTCCATGCAGCCTCCACCATCCTACCTGGCCCCGGGCCCCTCCCCACGTGACCGTGGGCAGCAGGAGGCCAAGGAGTCACATAGAGCAGCGTGAGCCTCGGGCAGAGCTGGCCCCTTGAGAGGGGCTCCCTGTGGACCCCCAGGCTCCCGGCCCCTGTGCGGGTGGCCCCGGGCTGTGCTCCACAGCAGTCATCTCGACCTACCTGCCTAACTCTGGGCTTTCCGGCTCTGGGGGTGACAGATGCACACCCAGGAGTCAGAGCCGGGTCCAGAGAGCGCCGCACACAGCAGGCGAAGCCCCCTCTGCCCCCGCACCCTGCAGCCTGCCTTCTCCCCTCCGCTGGGCTGCCGCCACACAGTGGTGTCCCACGGAGGAGCCGCTTCTGCAGCTCAGGTTTGCTCTCACAGGGGTGCCCGTGCCTCCTGCCTGGGCCGTTCATGGGTGCTTGAACTCCGGCGGTCACAGTGGGTCTGTCTCCTCCTCAGCCTACTTGTCCCACTGCTGCCGTGTCCATCCCTGGATTCTGCCAGTGCAGCCTGCATGCTACCTACCCCCTCGGCCCCAAGCCCACTGCCCCCCATCTAGCCCCACCCTCTGGCCACTCCCACAGCCCCTCTCACACCATTTCCCCAAGAGCACCCAGGGTCCTCCATCCCTCTGCTGCCTCCCCAGGAAGCCCTCCTAGGCTGCGCCAGCCCCGTGGCAAGGGCCACCCCCGCATGCCCGTACCTCTGGATCCTTCATCTTTGGTCCCCACACCAGAGCACACTGGCAACACCACAGGTACTGAGCTCTTCATTAAGCCCTGGGCACCCTAATGGTGACAGATCCGGCCCCCTCCACCCCAAGGTCCCTGAGCCTCCATTTCCCACCCCTCAAGCCTCTGCATCCCAGCCCCCTCTCTCCCCCTGGGACCCATCTCTGCAGGCTGGTTGGGGGCATGCGGCAGAGCTGTCTGGGGGAGGGCAGGTGCAGCCTTCTCCCCGGCCTGGAGCAGGAGGGGGGCTTCCAAAGGGATGGCCGGGCAGGGGCCACTTCCTGATTCTCCTCCGGGAAGGGCTGCGCTGCTTTTGTCCCAATGACCCCTGGACTCAGCATGAAGGCTGCCCCCCTTGATGGGCAACCCTGGCTCTGATCCGGCCCCTGGGGACCTTGCTTTGTCCTAGAAGGGGCTGCCCCCACTCCCACCTGCCATCGCCTCCATAGCTTCGAAGCAGAGGCTTCGGTGCCCACGTATGGCCCGGGCCCTCAGCTCAGCCCCTCCCCCAGCGGCCTCGTCGCCATGGAAATGGCACCAGCCTCCAGGAGCTCCCGGGACAGAGGCACTGATTCATATCTGGGGTCTCCGAGGACCATGCGTCCTCCAGGGTCAGTCCCCTCAGTGTGGCCGGGAGCTCAGAGCTACCCCATGGGGACTGAGGGCTATCAGGGTCCTCACAAGCCCCCCTGTGACACATCCCCATGGCCCGTTCTGGTGCTTCATCCAGTAGCAAACAGTTCTGCTGAAAGTCTGAAGGGTTGGCAGGGACACCTGTGTGTCCCTCCAGCCCCAGAGCCTGGGCTGGGCTCCGTCAGGGTCATCTGTCTCCCCCGAATAAGCAGAGGTCAGAGGCCCCGCAGGCCCTGGTTGGGACCAGCGGGCACGAGTGGAGAGTGGACAGAGGACACGGCCCATCCCCCAGGGTTGCAGCCTTCCGCACTCGGGTAGCCGCGTACTGAGGGTCTGCTCCTCTAGCCCGGCTCTCTGGGCCAGGAGACTGGTCCACAGATCGAGGTCTGGGGCCAGCTGCACACAACTCCCTCCCCTCCCCGCAAGCCCCAGGGCCCACCTCTCCAGGGTGCTGTTGGCTGGGGGACATGCGGTAGAAACCGCCCAAGTGACCGCCCTGTGGGTTTACCCCCGAGTTCCTCACAGCACTTGCAGGCACCTGCAGGGCTCCAAGGGCCCGGATCGCTCTTCCTGGTGCTCTTATTCATCCTCCTGCTTCCTCCGGCCTTAAGCCACCTGCAGGCCTGCCCAGCCCAGCCCTCTATCCGTGGGTGGGCGGGGGGCACAGCTCTGGGGTTCCCTCAGCCCCAAGAATCGGAGCCACGCTGCTGGGCAGGATTCCTTCCAAAGCCTCCCAAATGCCCCCTGGAAGCCTGTGATGCCCTCTCTGAATGGGCAGAGGGCCCCCGGGGGAGCGAGCCCCTTAGACTGTCACAGCAAACCCTGTTGCGGAGCTGCCCTGTCCTAGGGTGCAGGGCAGGGTAGGGGCTTCCTCCAGTCTTCCAACCTCTGAAGGGGCTGGGGACACAGGCAGGGGGAACAGGCTGCTCCCGGAGGCCCCGGCCACGCCCCAGAGGCTGCAGTTGGTGTGGCCATGCCCCCAGCTGCCCTCCTGGTGTGACCAGTGGAGATTCCACTAGTCTTGAGAGGGGGCCCCGACCTGGGCCTGGATGGGTTCCTGCTCTCTTGGGGGCTGAGAGCCAAGGCCGAGGGTTGGGGAGGTGAGGGAGGGACTGCACGTTCTGGAAGGACCCAGTGAGCCCAAACCCATGGAATGAATGCAGTTGGGCAGCACCCAGTGCCGGCAATGGGGACAGGCACCCAGTCCTGTCTGCAGCCAGTGGGAGAGGGCGCAGGGCTCCAGGAAGAGGCACCCGGGGGTGGCAGTGCCTGTCCTGGGGCCGCCACCATCTCCAGGACCTGTCCATGTCTGGATCTGGTCCTCCTGGTCCCCAGAGAAGCAAACTCAGGGCCACGGAAGTCCCCTAACTGCCACTGGCAGCGGTTGGAGGATGTAATTCTTAGGTGGGGTGGCTGTTGGGAAAGAAGGAACCGTGGCTTTGGGAGCCCTGGGAAAGGACTGGACTCAAAGGGATCTCTCAGGAGGTACCCACCCCCCACGCCAGCCCTACCCGTCCCCTTTGGGGCTCCCAGCATTGCCGGGCCTCCCACCGCCTGCTGTCCTTTGGGCTGTTTTGCTCAGAGAGTGATGCCCGCCTGCCAGCAGGGGCGATGTGCACAGTGACCCCACGTTGACTGTCCTCGGTGGGCCCTCCAGACCCCTGGACAACCTGGAGGCCCTGCACGCACTGCTCCTGGCCGGGGCTGGTGGGTCCTGCGGTCATGTGGCCAGGCTCTGCTCCCACCCTGTGAATTCGTAAAGTCCTCAAGCCCTTAGCGAACGCGTTCCTCACTGCCCTGCCAGCCACCAGCAGGCGGAAGTCCGGGCCACGTGGACCCAGGCTGCCCTGCGGGGTCCTGAGTGACCGTGGGCACCACCTCTGCCCCTCAGACGTCCACAGGGTGGGCAGCGAGTTTGTCCCCAGCCAGCCCCCATCGAGGCCTGAGGCCTGAGTCCTCCACCGTGTTCTCAGGGAGCTCCGGGAGGTCAGGCCCCTGGACCCCCAGAGTGGCCAGGTCCCTCCTCCTGTGGCAGTGTCCGCTGACTACTCTTTTTCTTTTATTCTTAAACCTCAAGCCACCCTTGGTTTTAAATACGCACTCTTTTTCTTTTTTATAAGGGTAATCATTCTCATTGCAGACAAGTCGGAATTTGAAAAGAGTACAGGGAAAAAACCACCCAAACTCCAACACCCAGAGGTAATGGTTAATTTTAAATTAGAATCATACGGCTTTTCCATTGCACACGGGACCCTGAGCAATTTCCCGCGCCATTAAATCGTCTTCAGAAAGATGATTTTTAATCACTGCCTGTTCTTCCTGTGTTTTTGAACATGTGTGGCAATTTTAAATGGGAGAAGATTCCTTGAGTAGAGAATTTGCTATGCATTTCTCATTCGTTCCATCGATTAAACTCCCAGAAATGGGATCCTCTGTGTGCTCCTGGAGTCTTATCAGACTCCCCTCTCGGGGGCTGTCATCAATGTTTCAAGTGATCTCTCCGTGTGAATATCAGCTTCTGGATGCTGTTCCATTGGCTGCCGGGAGCTCATATCTGAGCCCAGGGTGGGGTCCTCCCCGCACCTGACCCTGTGTGTCTGGGGAGGCTCTTCCCTTCTAGGAACCTAAAGCCTCGGGGAGACAGATTGAAGGCAGATCCTAACAGGGAAGAAAGGGAGGCCCAGGCTTGGAGATGGGGAGGGCAGAGGGGTGAGGGAGTGGGAACACAGGGCTGTGGGGCAGGAATGCCCCAGGCAGCAGTGCCCTTGTACAAAGGTGGGTGGCAGTGCTGTGACGGGGCCAGGAACTGCCCTGGCCTTTGCGGCCCTTTGGGGGAGGGCGCTGGGGGCCCGCAGTGGACAAGGTGGCAAAGAGGGCCGTAATCCTGCCCTCTGGCCAAATTGTCCCCTCTGGGACTAGTAACCCTGGGCCCTCTAGCTTTACGTCCTTGGGGCACTGTCCCGTTCGCTGACTTTGGTCTGGTCTTGCCAAGGTTTGCCCTGGCCTTTCCATCCTCCGTGAAAGTGGTTTGGGGGACCAGCTTGCAGATGAGGGGTTCAACTGCCCAGAGAAAATTGTCTCCTCTAAACAGCAACAGCCCCCCCAGCCCCGCCAAAGCCAGTAGCTGGTGTGCTGGTCAGGAGGGTCTCTGTGCAGCAAGCGCTTCTGCGGGGAGGGGGCTGAGGGGGACCGGTAAGGGTCACAGGAAAGCAGTGGCTGCTGGACCACTGGGGAGGGGGCCCTGAAGGGCATGGCTGGGCCGCAGGGGAGCGGGGACAGGGCCCGGCCCGTGGGGCGCTGGGGGAGGGACCCGTGAGGGGATGGGGCCAGGAGGGTCTGGTGTGGTTCCGGGCGGGGGGCTGGGATGGAGGGTGGGCTGGAGCGGGGAGAGGTGGGAGGCAGAGGAGACCCTGAGGCTGGCAGGAGGAGGCCCTGAGCCGCAGGCCAGGTGCAGCAAACTGCAGGCCCTGAGAATCGGGGCTGCCTGCGCCCATCCCAGGGGCTGGGCGGGGGAGGGGGGGTCGTCGGGGGCTGGACGCCAGGCGCTCTGCTGGGAGTCCGGTTGCAGCCCCCACCTTTGTGACCAGGGAGGGGGTTGGGTCGTGGACCTTGGGAAAACACTTGAGCCGCCCCCACGCCTGCCCAGCGCTGCCGGGACGAGCTGGTGGGCGGAGACCGAGCTGGTAGGAGGCTGGGGAGAGGGGCGGGGGGCGGCCAGAGCCGGAGGTCAGGCCACGAATAGTAGAGGGGCATGTGGCTGTGCGTGAGGGCTGGGCGCCTGGGGACAGAGGAGCCAGGGACAGTTTTGGGGAGTCCTTAGGAAAGAGGCTGGAGGCGAAGGGAGCAGGGGCCTGGTGGGGTGCTGGTCACGGAGGTCCTGCCTCCCAGGGAGGGGCTACACATTTTGAGGGAGGAACACCCGCCCATTCTGCAGTCACTGCCTGGGTCCAGGCCAGTGGGGGCCCCGGGGGGCCTCCAGGAGGCCCCGAGCCAAGGTGGCAGCCTGTGGTTAGAGACGGAGGTGCGTCGGAAACACAGATTCTGCTGTCCTAGCGCCCACAGGCCCTGGCTGCCCCTCACGCTGGGCGCCCCTGGAAGTACAGGCAGGGATGGAGACCCCCGGGGTCGGCACTGCCTCCCAAAGCATGTGGTCTGCCCGCCTAGACCCAGAGAAGGGGGTCACGGTCTGGTGGTGGCCGGGCTGGGCGCAGTGGACCCCAGGAAAGCCCCGCTGAGCTCCTGCGGCCCGTCCTGTGGCCCGCAGGCCTGACTGCCCCTGAGGGGGCCACGCCTTGCTGTGCATGTAAGGGTGGGGGCCAGGTGGTCCCTGCCACATGGACTCTGCACTTGGAATCACAGAGCCTCTGGGGTGGGGGCCTGGGGGGCAGGCTGGGGCCCAGGGGCCCTGGAGGACCGGTAGAGTTGGGGGGAACCTCAAATGTTAGCCCAAGTTAGGAACCAGCCCCTCCTCCTCCCCAGGTCCCGTGGAGGCCTCGGAGCTGCTGACGGGGCGTGGGGGGCCTGGCCCGGGCTGGGGTGGCTGACAGACGCGGAGCTGGCCGCGCTGGGCCTGCTCCTGCAGGTGTGAGAGAGGCTGCCCCCTGCCCTCCCAGGACCCGTCCTCCCGGAGCGCCATGGCAGTCGCACCTAGCGACGGCTTCCACCGCCCCCCTGGCGGTCCAGCCGCCTCTCGCCTGAGGCGCAAGAGCGGGACGTGGGTGAGCAGGACTGAGCGGGGCCTTGGGAGGCCTGCTGAGCGGCCCCTCCCGGGCCTTGGTTCCCGTCACCACGGCCAAGTGTCAGCCCCACACAGCCCCTCCCCTCGGGGGTTCCCTCCTGACACTGTGTGGGTGAGCAGCGGACAGAAACTTCTGGAAGGGCTTCAGCAGTCTACCAGGGGCCAGAGCCGACCTGCGGAGCTCACCCAGCACCTTGCTCTCCCCGTCCCCAGAGGCCGCCCGATCCCCGCTCTGTGCTGCCCGTCCTGGGGTCCTGGGGTCTCGCCCCTTCGAGGGAGGCACAGGGTGGCGTCATCCCTCGCCGTTGCCCATCAGGGTCTGGGGGCACAGAGCTGGCCCGAGAGCCAAATGAACACAACCGTTTTGTGTCAGTTTGGGGTTCCGGTGCCTGGCGGACGCAGACCCTCAGCAAGCATTCAGTGAGTCAGCGAGTGAGCGTGCGGGCGGCAGGCGGCTCCCCCGTGCTGGTCAGAGCCAGCAGTGCACCCCCCCACAACAGGAGCACTCACTGAGGCGGGGCCCTGGCTGTGGGTGCCAGGCTGGGGGCTTCTCAGAGCAGGCTGGGGAATGTGGGGGCCTGCAGAAGGCAGGGGGCGCAGGCACCGCGGGGCCCACGCTGCGCATGACCACTTGACCCAGGCACGCGACCTATTTCATTCCCCGCAAACACTGGCTTCGCAGCCCTCTGCTTTTCTGATGGAAGAAGTCTTGATTATCTGTGGCCATTTGGAAACCGGTCTTCGCTGCTATCACAAAGCCTTTTTGTGCCCATGAGAGAAGCACTCCTGTCTCTGAGTGGTCTGAAAGTACTTTTCATTTGCACTTGAGAAGAGTTTCTAGATCACCTTTCCAGGAGGACAAATTGCCGCCTCCACCACCCCTGCAGTAAGAGGGTGTCTCTCTGCACACTCTGGTTATCTTTGTCTTGATGAGAGGAAAGACCCTCTTCCCTGGTTTCAGTCTGCGGTCCTTTCATCACTGGTGAGGTGGCCGGGGCTGCCTTGGGCTTCATTTATTGGCCAGCAGCTCCATCCTCTATGTCTGTATTCCAAATGATGGTGCAAATCCTTACCGACTGACTGACAGGTGTATGGAGAGTGACCTTGGTTACAGAGGTCACAAGTGTGTTTTCAGCATTTACTGGTGGGTTGTGATGCTGCCTGGGGCCCCGAGTCCTTGTCACTGACTCTGAAAGCCCGCCCCCCACTCTGGTTTCTGCCTCTGCGCCGTGTGTAGAAAGCCTTCTCACGTCCCAGGATTCCGAGGCCCCAACTCCTCAGTCTCCTCTGTATGTTTAGGGTTGTAGTTTGGAAATGCAGCTATCAGGACGGGCTGCCCTTTCCTCGGGCGGGCGCAAGGAGCAGGGTCAAGGTCCAAGTTAGGTTTTGGCCCCGCGTGGTAGGCACTCGTCACCCCCACCTCTTCTGTAGGGGGGAGCGCCATGGGCCCCTCTCCTGGACTGGGCTCTGGCTCTTCCCCCGCCTCCAGGTGTAGTCTCAGCCTCAGGGGAGGTGTCTGCACTCCGAGCGGGTTTTCAGAGCCTCCTGGCTGTGCTCACTCATCTGTCCCGCAGGTGCCTTGTGCACCGCGCGGTTGGGCTGCTGTGACTTTGGGACCCAGCCGGAGCAGGAGCCCCGAGGCCTGGGCTCCTCTGTGTCCCCGCACCACTGCCTCTCTGCATCTCTGTGTTCTGCAGACCTCTCAGGCAGGGTGGTGGCGGAGAAGCCCCTGTGCCACAGCCCGCCCTGGGAGGAGGCCGTCGTCAGCAAGATCAGGACCATGACCGTCTTGGAGAGGTGCCGCATGCTGCAGTCCATCCTCTGCTGCCTCCAGCAGGACGGCCAGGTGGGCGCTGAGTTCCACTCTCTGTCCCGGGGTGGGGGGCTCCCTCTCCACCCTCCACCCCGGGGGGCTCTGCACCCTCTACCCTGGGGGGCTGCCTCTGTACCCTCCATGCCAGGGGGGTGCTCACTCTGTACCCTCCACCCTGGGGGGCTCCATCTCCACCCTCCACCCCGGGGGACAGCCCCTCCCCACTCTGCCCCGGGGCCTCAGAGTCCACTCCGCCCGCTGCAGTCCTGACATCCCTGACCCCCGGGGCATGTTCAGGGAAAGGTTTCCAGAGGCAGGAGGGAGTAGTGATGGGCACAGGTGAGGGCAGGTGGGTGCCTGTCAGCTGAGCGAGGGCCCGGCCCCCTCAGGGACCTGGATCCATTCGCTGCTGCCCCTGGGCCCCTGGGGGCTCCCGAGGACTGAGCTTTGCTGGTGCCCCTCTGAGGACACAGGAGACGCTGTGCTCAGGCCTCCCACGAGGGTCTCAGGCTGACCTGGGGGGCGGAACCAGTGCTTCCCTGATGCGCCCCCCTGCTCCAGCCGTCTGTCCAGTGTGAAGGCCTGGAGGCCTCGCTTACAGAGCGGGGGGAGCAGCACAGCTCAGCCCAGCCTCCTGGCTGGCGGCTGACCCACGCACAGGAGCCCGGCTTGGGAGTGGGTGGAGCATCCAGCCAGGGAACAGCCTGTGCAGAGGCCTTGATGCCTGGAGACAGCACGAGGCCAGCCCCACTCACCAGCCATGATAAGGGTTTAGCCTCCGTCCTGTGGGTAGCTGGCCACCAGGGCCCACGCTAGGGTGGGTGTGTCTGAAATCCACCTGGAATGAGTCCCTTGGAGGGTTGTTGTAGGGCTAGCAGCCCCCGCCCTCTGCTTACCCTTTCTGGGATGGGTTGTGTGTTCTCTGCCCACCCGTGAGGTCACCGCAGTCCCTGAAGACTCCCGGTGGCAGGCCTGCTGGGCCCGTCTGTCCTGTGCACTCTGGTCTCTGGGGGGCTGGGGGGAGTTGGCGAGCACTGTGCTCTGCCTGCAGCTTGTGCAGAAGGTGAAGGTGTCAGATGCCAGTATCCAGGAGCTCCTGGAGCCCTTGAACCTGGACTTCAGTTCTCCTCTGGAGAAGGTCGGTGCCACGGTCACCCCCCAGACCCTCCCCTCCTCAAAGGCCTTCTCAAAGACCCAGCCTGGGAAGTACTGGAAAGGCAGGGGGCGGCTCTGCTCACACCTTGGCTGCTCCAGGACCTGACCCCAGGGCAGGAGAGGCGGCCAGGCCTCAGGGACACGGGCCTCGGGGCGTCAGTGCACCTGTGTGTGCAGCCGCTGCATGTGGGCCCGTCCCGTCCAGGCCTGGGTCTGCCTTGCCTGCCCCTCCTGGGCCCTGCACTCTCACAGAGAGGGGGACTCCTGGTGATGCTGGTCTGTTCAAGTCATGCTGCCTCCTGCAGCATGTACTAATTTCCATCAAGAGAAAAATGAAGGGGCTTCTAGAAGATTCTGAGTGCAGCCTCCACCTCGCCTGAGGGGGAGTGGGGGGCAGAGGGGCCTGGCTCTGCCGGGGGTCCCTGAGATGAGCAGGCCGGGAGGCTCAGCACGGAGCTCGGAGCGGGCGCCCACCAGCCCCGCACAGAAAGGGCTCTCTCCCCCCGCCCTAGTCCTTTCTCTTCCACTTGTACGGCGTGATCCTCAGGGAGAGTGCTGACAGCAACATGGTGAGGAAGCACCTGGTCCAGCTCCTCGAGCTGTCCCACCAGTCGTCCAGCGACCGGGAGGTGGGTCGGAGGCCCCAGGCACCCCAGCCCCTCGGGCTCCCTCAGGCCCGTGGGCCGGGCCCCCCTCCCACTCACCTGGATGCTTTGTGACCAAGGTCCACGCCGCCCTCCCCATGGGGACTCTGTGACTCTTAGCAGCACCCCAGCCCTTTTGCAGTAAACAGGGGCCACCGGTGTAGGTGCTGACTGTGAGAGTGGGGACTGCCCAGGGCATGTCCAGGCTCCATCCTGGCCGGGCAGCCCCCAGGGTGCAGGTTATCTCACAGGCATGGGCTGTGTCCTTGGGAGGGATGGGTGGGCTGCAGGGCGCTGCCCTTGGGGACGGGCTCGTGAAGGGGTCCTCTGGCCCCCAGGGCATCTCGCTGGCTGTGGGCATAACGTCCACCTCTCACCTGGAGCAGGTGTGGGGCAGGCTGGAGCACCTGGGCTGCACCAGGTTCCTGAGGTCTGCGCCGCTGTCCACGGACAGCCAGGTAGGAACCGTGGCGCGGGGGTGGGGAGGGTGGGGGCCTGGAGCGAGTCCCTGGTCACTGGTGCTGTCTGAGCATCAGTTTGCTCATGGAACCTGGGGAGGCGAGTGGTCCCACCCAGCCACCTTCCTGAGGGGCTGGAGGTAGGGACTCAGGCCTTCCTATCCTGGTGGGCCAGGCAGACATGAGCCTTGCCCCGGGGCCCCACACAGGGGGCTCCAGAGCCTGGGTCGGGCTAAAGGCAGTGGCCGAGGGGCCTGCCCTGACCTCAGGCAGTGTCTATGGCCCCAGCCACGCCCTCGCTAGGGCGCCAGGCCTGGGAGCCACACTGAGTGGCTGCACTTTACCTGCCTACCCCGCCCGGGTGCCTCCGCTCAGAGAAGACGGGCTGCTCCAAGGAGCCGGGGTCCTGCCGGGGTGGGTGGGGGAGCAGAGGGCTTGGTGGGCCCTTCCCAGCACCTGAGGCCCCACTCCTGACTGTGCTCCCTGCCGCGGCAGCTGGAGTCACACCTGCACTGGAGGTGGGTGAGCAGCACCGCCCTGCTGTGCTGCGGGCAGATGGCCGTGCACGCTGGGAAGCAGGTCCTGCCCTGGGTGGACAACATCGCTTCCAGGATGGCGTACCACTTCTCCTGCAGCAGCCTCGTGAGCCCCGCCGGGCCTCAGGCGGCAGGGCGGGGGGCCGTGAGTGTGTGTGCACATGCATGTACTGTGCGTGCGTGTGCATGAGTGCTGAGCAAGACAACCCTTCCAACGTCCAGTCTGTTATGCCCGATGTCCAAATCCCCGAGCAGGAAGAGAGAAGGCCTCCAAGACAATGCAACTCGCAAAAAGGGAAGTTTATTGCTGACTCAAGTCAGGGCTTCTGCCGCATCCAATGCAGTGGTGCGGGGTCAGAGAGCCCCGAGCCCAAGCTGTTACACAAGTTTATAGGGTCAGCATAAGCAGTTGGTAGCTGGCTTAAGCGGATTGGTTACATGTTTGCAAAGCAATTTTATTGGTCCAAACTTTTGCGGGCTTTTTTCAAACTTGGGCGTTCGCGGGCTTTTCAGCTTTCCCCTGATAGATTCCCTTTTTCTTACTGGGCGCATACTGATTGGCTGGCTCCAGGTGGCCTGATGGGGGTAGGGAATCTTACCATTTCGGGGGAAATCTAAACTTAGGTCCGGGCCACCTGTCATGGTGTTAGCCCTGGCAGCCTCACACAGTCCTTGCCCATCAGGTGGTTGCACTGATGGCGCCTGGAAAGCAGGGCCTGGTGGGGAGTCAGTTCTGAAAACAGGGGAGCAGGGGCTGAGTATGAGGCGTGGTGGCTGGGGCTTTGTGTCCTTTCCTCACCAGCGGCTGACCTCTGACCCCAGCCCACTCTGAACCCTGACCCTTGTTGCACACTGAGTGCCGACCTCGACCTCAGAATGACTTTCAGACCATCACTTCTTTTTCTAAAAAATGTCAGTGAGTGAGAGTGAGAATGGGCCAGTGCAGACTTCCCACGGAGGGCTCCAGGCCTTTTAAGCCAGGCGGTGTGTGCGAGAGTGTGTTGTGTGTATGTTGTATATGAGGTGTGCCTGCGGTCTGTGTGTGCCATATGCACAGTTGGTATTCATGTAAGTGCACTAGTGCATGCTGCATGTTACATGTTTTGCAAGCTGTCAGTGTTGCATGTGTTATGTGTGTTATGCATGCATGTGGGCAGTTTTTGTACATGTGTGCATTTTGCGTGCGTGTGTTATGTGTGGGTGTGTGTGGCAGTGGATATGCCGTGTGTGCAGTGTGTGTCTACATTGGGTGTGCAGATGTGCTGAGAGCTGTGTTGTGTGCATTGCACGTGTGTGTGTGCTGAGGGTGCGTCCTCTGTACCGTGTCTGTGTGGAGCTGCTGTGTGTGCGCTGTGGGCACTGCTTGCTGTGTGGGTGCTGCCTGTACATGGGCCAGGCAGGCCGAGCGACGGCCCACCCTGGGCCCCTGGCGGGGCTCCGGTCTGTCCGCCTGGGCAGGACAGCACCCTGAAGGCGAGCTTCCTCTCGGCCTCCATCATGCTGGTGAAAGCTCTCAGTCAGGAGAGCAGTGCCTGGAGCTACAAGTTCACACAGACCCTGGAGTTGATCCAGTGTCTCCTGGTCAGTGACCCCAGGGGCCTGTGCGGGGATGGAAGGCCGGGCAGGCAGGTGGGCGCCTCCCCCATGCTGGCTCCCACCCGCCCCCCAGTGCATCCTGGAGAAGGAGCCCAACTTCCTAGCCAACCTCTTCCGGCAGAAGATCATACTGGTCATCATGGAGCTGAGGTAATGTCTCTCAGGGTCCAGGAGCGAGGACAATCAGACCTCTGAGTTCGGGTGGGGGTCAGTGTGCGAGGAGACGAGAAAGATGTGAATGAGGGCAGGAGCCCCTGGGCCTGGCACCAGAGGCTGAGCGGAGCCCAGGGGCCACCGGGTCAGGGACAGTTAGGTTTCCTTTGCTTCTCGTCAAGGTCAAGGTTGATAACGTTGGCACAGACTGAGCCCTGGCCCTGGTCACACACGTTACATGTTTAGCCCTGACCCTGGTCACACTGACCTCTGGTCACACTCTGAACCCCACCCGTCTCACAAATTGACCCAGATCCTATTCACAGTGTTGATACTGACCCCAGAATCATCCCTGTTTTCTCACAGCAAACGTCACTGAGCCCAAGAGAAGTGAATGAATGAGTTGGGACGGCCTTTCTGGTCCGATTGAGCTCCATGCTCCCCACGGCACCCCACCCCCACCCCCACCCAGCCAGAGTCCCTTTCCTCACTTTGGACTGTGTTGGCCTCTGCCGGCCATCTCTTCCAGCCACTTACGGCCCCGGCTCAAACCCAAGTCAAGTCCAGAATCTTGCAGACCTGCCCGCAGAGCTTGTACAACCTCCCCCCCATGGAGATGCTGAAGTCCAGCCTGCCGCCACTGGAGCTGGCCCCAGACGTTGTGGTGACTGGCCCACTCCTGGGGTGGGGTTCCGGGTGCTGGGCCACATGGGCGAGTGGCGGAACAGATCAGGGAGTCCCAGGCTCACGTGCTTTTCAGCCCAGCTTCACGCAGACTTGCTTTGACCTTGGAAAAACCCTGGGTCTTTGGGCTCAGCCCCTCAAATGGGGCTCTGGTCTCCATGCCAATAGTGTTGCGTGAGAATCAGAGGGTGCTGGGGCGAACGCACAGCCGGAGATGAGCGGCCAGGGTCTGTTCAGGCCCCAGGTTGCTCCGCGTGGCATCTGCTCCCAAGGTCCCACCCCTGCCTGAAACACACGCTCACCACTCCACACACCTCACTCAGGCTCACCTACATCCTTGGCACAGCTGTCACAAGCCCTGCCTGGAGCCGCTGCCAGCATGGGCACCTCCTTTTAAATTTCAAATGAGTATCCTTGCTAGTTTTTTTCAAGGGGATTATAGGTGCATAGAATCAGATGATCATAATCCTTGTTTGTGATATACTCCTGTTGTTGGTCCATGTTATTAGATTTAGTTATTTACAGTAACAAAACATCTTGTCCCAAACCAAAGCTAGTACCTTGACAATAACCTATAAGTAACCATATGTTCCCCCATCTCATCTGCCTCCTACAGCAACAAATTTAAAAAGTTGAAGTCTAGTTGATTGACACTACTGTGTTAGTTTCAGGTGTATAGCAAAGTGATAGTTTTATATACATGTGTGTGTACATGTATATATATATACATACATGTGTGTATTATATATTACACACATGTATGTACACATGTACATGTATGCACACGTACACACATATAATATGTGCGCATTATATATATACACACAGATTATTTTCCATTATAGGCTATTACAAGATATTGAATCTAGTTCCCTGTTCAATAAGTAAATCTTTGTTGCTTATCTATTTTACATATGGTAGTTTGTGTCAGTTAAACCTATACTCCTAATTTATCCCTCTCCCCTCCCTTCCCCATTTGGAAACCATAAGTTTGTTTCCTGTAGATTCCATAGGGTTTGATGCATGACTTCTGTGAATAAAGACAGTTGACTTCTTCCTCTCCAATCTTGATGCCCTTTCTATCTCATTCTCTACTTCCAGCACACCCTAGAACCTTGAGACGGTGCTGGCCAGCAGTGATGAGGGCAGATGTTCCAATCTTGCTCCTGATCTGATGGAGAACACATCTATTTTTACATTCAAGCATGCTGCTAGCTTCTTGTCAGGATGAGAAGCTTCCTTTCCATTCCTAGTTTACTGCAAGTGTTTAGGAGGATGGAGATTGGGCTTTGTCAGATGCTTTTGCTATATCTACTGTGATGATTGATTTTGATATATTATATTCTCATTTTCACTTAGTTCAAATACTTCCTAATTTCAGTTTAGATTTTTAAAAAATTTGGTCTTTGACTTATTCAGAAATATGTTAATTAGGTTCTAGTTTAATTCTTTTTTTTGTCAAAGAAAACACTTTACAGAAGTGTGAATCTTTTAAAATGCCTTGGCCTGTGTTGGTAAATGTGCAGGGTGCCCTGACGGGCTGTGCATCCTGCTGTCCCTGGGGGATGCCTACAAACACCAGTCAGGTGAAGGCAGGGGGTCATGCTTTTTAAATCTGTGTACTCACCAAGTTTTGTGTCTTCTATCAGTGACTGAAAGGGGTGTGGAAATACTGCTACAGCTGTGGGTTGTCTCTCTCCTGCATCTGTATCAAGTTTGCCTTGTTTATTTTGAAGTTCAGTTCACTTTGAAGCTTTGTTCCACAAACACTCTGGACACATGTCCTCCGAGGAGCAGACCCCAGCACCCTCATGGAACAACCATCCTTACTGCAGGTCTGCTCTGCTCTGGAGTCAACTTTCTGGTGTTAATGGAGCTTGGATGTGTCAGTATCACAAGACTTGTTCCTGTTAACTTATTCGTGTGTAATTTAAGGTGTCTTTTTTTTTTTCTACAGGAAGCATGTAGTTGGGTCTTGCTTTTCTATCTAATCTGGCAGTCTTGGCCTTTAACAGGAGATGGTCATGTTAAACTAACTACACATCAAGATAGTTGGGTTAATGTGACCATCTGACTGTTGGTTTCAATTTGGCCTTTATCTTTTGTTACTCTTTTTCTGTTTTTTTTTTTTTAAGTTTCCATTTTATCTGTGTTTTTGGCTTATTTGCAACGGCTCTTTGCTCTCTTATTGGTTGTTTCAGGGCTTTCAGCAGACATCTTTAGCCTATTGCTATGCGCTTCAGGTGATGCTGCCCCACTTCACACGCGGGGGCTCCCAGCACCACCCTGGCTCCCCAGCCCCTGTATTCCAGTGCCGTGCCTTTGCGTCCACACGCGTTACCAAAGCATCGATGCTCTGTGTGCTTTAAACAGCCGGTTATCTTTCAGCAAGATTTAAATAATGAGAAATGTGTCTCATATTTGCCAACACAGTTCCTTTTCTGGAGGCCTTGATTCCTTTTTGTAGATTCAGATATTATGTTTCCATCCTGCATCAAAGCCCTTTTGTCCAGAGACTTGCTGTTCAAAGATCTGACAGTTCCAGCATCTTGGCTGTCCTATATCTGAAAAGGTCTTTATTTAGCTTTGGTTACTGAAGTGCATTTTCACTGGGTATAGAATTCTAAATTGGCGGGCTCCTCTCTTTTAGTGCTTTACACACTTGACCACTGTCTCATCACATGGTTTTATGAAAAAAAAAAAAAAAATCTGCTGCCATCCTTACCTTTGTTCCTCCAATAAATAACAGGTCTTTTTTCCTTTGACTGTTCAATTGCTTTTTATTTTTTTTTGACACTTTCTCCTTAAGACTGCTTTTAAGCAATTCTGTATGGTAGAGCTTTTGTAATTTTATTCATGTTCCTTGTGCTGGGAGTTTGTTGAAAATCTGGAGCTGTGGACTTATACTTTTCACCAAATATGGAGGAATTTTGGCCATTATTTCCTCACATACTCTCGTCACACACCCCACCCCCACGTCTTGGATGGGTCCTCTAGTACACGTATATTAGACTGCTTGAAGTTGACCTGCAGGTCACTAATATTCTGCTTACTTTCTTTTTTCTACCATTTTGGAACTAGAATTATATTTTTGTCAGGGTACTATGTTTCAAGTTTCACTAATCTTTTTTGTCTTTGACATCTCATCTGAATTTCATCCCATGGTGTGTTTTTTATCTCATACATTTTGGTTTTCATCTTGAAAAGTTCTATTTGGATCATTTTTTCATATCTTCCTTGTCTTTATCTTACAAATTCAAGCTTTCCTCTAGTTTATTAACATGTGGAATACAGTTATAATAAATGTTTCAATGTGTTTGCCTACTAACTCTATTATCTGTCATTCATGGGTGGATTTTGATTAATATTTCTCTTTCAATGTGGGTCATGTTTTCTTGCTTCATTGCATACCTGGTAATTTTTAAACAGATGTGAACCATCATAAATGAAGTTTGTTAATGTGCTGTGTATTTTTGTATTCCTATAATTATTTGGGGGCTTTGTTATGATACACAGTTAAATTAATTGTAAGCTCTAAATCTTTTCAAATCTTAAAAAAAAGTTTTTGCTGGTGGGCTAGAGCAGCACTGATTCTGGAGTTCAATCTGCCTCAAAGACACCTCTGGACTCTGCCCTCTCCCCATGAATTAAGACATTCTCTGCCCAGGCCAGTGTGTGCAGGCCCAGTCCCAGCATGCTGAACTCTGGGGACCTTCTCTCCCACCCTGGAGGCGGGGGGCGGGGGTCCCCACCTTCACCTGTTGAAGACTCCAGGGGACTCTCTGTTCTCTGTGTGCACCTTTCCCGTCCCTGGCTGTCTTGTGGACGCCAGCGGCCTTGGCCTGCAGTGACATACCCCCACTGGGAGGGGGCACAGAGGGCAGACAGACCTGCCAGTGCTGGGCCCTCGGGCCCAGGGTCTGAGGGGAGAAGTGCTCATCACCTCTTTGATGCCCGTCCTCCTCTACAGCACTTAATAGCAACTCCGTCTCAAACTCGTTTAGGTATTTATTTTTCTTCTTCAGTCAGTTCAGTTCAGCCGCTCAGTCATGTCCGACTCTTTGCAACCCCATGGACTGCAGCACGCCAGGCTTCCCTGTCCATCACCAACTCCCGGAGCCTGCTCAAACTCAAGTCCATTGAGTCAGTGAGGCCATCCAACCATCTCATCCTCTGTCATCCCCTTCTCCTCCTGCCTTCAGTCTTTCCCAGCATCAGGGTCTTTTCAGATGAGTCAGTTCTTCACATCAGGTGGCCCAAATATTGGAGTTTCAGCTTCAGCATCAGTCCTTCCAATGAATATTCAGGACTGATTTCCTTTAGGATGGACTGGTTGGATCTCCTTGCAGTGCAAGGGACTCTCAAGAGTCTTCTCCAACACCGCAGTTCAAAAGCATCAATTCTTCAGCGCTCAGCTTTCTTTATAGTCCAACTCTCACATCTATACATGACTACTGGAAAACCGTAGCTTTGACTAGACGGACCTTGGTCGGCAAAGAATTGTCTCTGCATTTTAACATGCTGTCTAGGTTGGACATAGCTTTTCTTCCAAGGAGTAAGCGTCTTAATTTAATGGCTACAATCACCATCTGCAGTGATTTTGGAGCCCCCTCCCCCCAGTTTTTCTCCTTAGAGTTTTACAAAATGCTCTTGCTTCTCTCTGACTGGCCAGGGAGAGGCTCAGGCTCAGGAACCAGGCCTGCTTTCTCCTGTTGTCTCCTGCAGGGGGGTGTGATACACGCTCAGTATGCGCCCACTGAAGAAGACAATGGATGCATGGCTAGTGAGCTGTCATTATAGGGGTGCCAACTGTATTTCTGGTTCCTATTTGCATTACAGCATAGACTGTCTCCTTTGATCCTGAGAAATCTTTGGTCCCAGGTGGCAGATTGCAGCATTACTACGTAGAGGAACAGCCATGTTTCCCTCATTTCAACCAGGCTTTATTGAGTGCTCGCCGCAGTCATTCCCACCACTTGGCGTAATCACGTGGCATGGACCACAGTGATGCAATCACTTACTCATTCAACAATCACCCAGAAACTACTAGTGCCAAGTGCCAGCAGGTCTGCCGTTCACCACCACACGAGTACTGGGGCAGGTCTGCATATGGCTTTGTGTCTGAGTTCACATATCTGGGAACATGAGCCAAAAAATGTTCCCCAGGAGAAGCAAGAAGGGAAGAGGAGAGACAGCAGGACTCACACCAGGACGCGGGTTTGAGCAAATGGAGGAGGCAGGCCGTGGAGACCAGATCCGGGAGGTGGGAGGACCACAGGGAGCTGTCTAAGGAGCCAGAGTGGGGTGCTGCCCGCCCCCTGGTAGCACCCATGGCTCGTGGAGCCCTGTTTCCTCCTGGGGTCTTGGAGGCAGATCTGATACCCCCAGAAGCTATAACAGGAAGAGTTGGCATCTGTGGGGGCATTCTGTCTGTGCTCACCCCCAAGGTGCCTAGTGGCAGCTGGGCTGACCAGCTACCCTCTGGCCACCAGGGGCTGTACCAGAAGTCCATGCAAGTGCTTGACCTGCTCCTCCAGGCCTTCGTCTCTGAGAACGAGAGCACGGATGAGATCTGCTTCCTCCTGCAGGTAAGGGCTCCCAGTGCCCATCCCACCCCGGGGCCCACCCAGGGAGCATCCCGCAGGTGAAGGAGGGCCAGGAGGGCAGGTCAGCCAGTGTGCCCCCCACATGTACCCAAGTGCTAGGGGTGTTCGCCTCTTCCCTCAGAACAGTGCAGATCCTGCAAGGAGCAGGGAGGCCCTCTGCCCTTACCTCCGGGAGCCCCGGGGCAGGGAGGATCAACCCCTGAGGGCTCTCCCCCAGACTGGAGAGGCCGTCCCTCAAACACCAGCCTCCCTCTGCTCCCCCTGCACAGCCCAGGGCCCAGGGGCACACCACTCACCCCCAGAGCCCCGGGAGCCGCGAGGGACAGTCTTGTGGCCCCATGTGCTTCACCCTAGGGTGCCGGGCTACTGGACAGGCAGGAAAGGGTAATATGCCCTGTGGGCCGTGAGCCGCCCCTACCTCCCCCCACTGCCCCAGCCGCACCCCAGAAGGGCGGGCCTGTGGGCTGAGGTCCCTGGCTCTGGCCTCCACCCCAGCACGCGGAGCCCTGGCTGAAGTCGAGCAAAAGCTACAAGCGCAAGCGGGTGGTGCAGTCTGTCTTCCTGCTCCTCAAGTACGTGGCGGACTACGTGAAGCTCACCGTGAGTGCCCTGCCAGGCCCCTACCCTGCTTCCTCTCGCCTCCCACAGTCCCTGTCCGCTGAACACAGGGGTGGTTGGCGGGCCCTGGGGACTAGACACCATCCCACCAGGAGCCCAGTCCTGGGGTGGAGGTTGCGGTTCAAATAGAACAGGAACAGCCTGGATGAAAAGGCTCCCTGTGAGCAGGACTGGAAGGAAAGAGGGGCGAGCCAGGGGGCTATCTGGAGCCTTCAGGCAAGGCCCGATGGAGAGGGCAGTATTTGAGGACAGGGCAGCCGATACAAGGACCAGCTAGAGGAGCGCTTAGCTGAAAGCTCTCAGCCCCAGGGCCAGCAGTGGGGGAAACAAGACACAAAGACCTGGAGGGAACAGGACGGGCCCTGGTGCGGTCACTCCACCCTCAGCCAAGGCCCCGAAGCTGCTGAAATACAAGAGTAAACAGAAAAATATCCCAAAGCAGCCAGAAGGAAAGAGTGCACACACACAGGCATGCACTCATGCACACGGGGAAGGAAGAACAGGACGTCTACTAACTTCCGGTCAGAAGCAACGAGGAAATGGGGGTCCTGAGGGTGAACAAGGGCCCCTCTGCAGACACGGCGCCAGCACCCGACTCGCGAGACACGGAGCACAGGAACGAGCTGAGAGCTGAGGGCGGGGAGGGACTGCGGTGGAGGCCGGCCGCGCTCACTGCGCTCCTCCCCCAGGAGGAGGCCATGCCCTCAGGGCTGGGCCGCCAGGTGGGCCTGCTGCTGCTGCTGTGGCAGGACCGGGACCAGCTCACCCGGAGCCACTCCCACCAGTGTGTCTACCTCTTCCTGCAGCTTCTGATCCAGCAGAAGGGTGAGCCGTGGGGTGGGGGGAGGCCTCTCTGGTGGTATGGGGGAGGGTGTCATCTCCCAGGCTGCAGGTGGCAGGCCTCCTGACCCAGCGTCCCACCGCAGGGAGCATGTAGTCGGAGTTCATGCATCTGAATAAAATGAAGAACTTTGAAGCAAAGGCTCACAAAGATTCTGAGCTGAAGTTCTATAGTTCGGTGAAGGTGAGGGCTGGGAAGGGTGGAGGGTGCTGGCGGCTGGCCTGGGGGTCCTGCAGAGCCCCAGACTGCCCAAGAGCGCAGGGTTGGCCGGCCCATTTCACAGATAGGGCCAGTGGAGGGCCTCTGCAGTCTGTGCAGGGGTCAGGTTAGCAAGCGCCCGGTCCCCAGAGCTCTTTCCAGGGAAGCACCCTGTCTTCCCCTTAGAACTCCGCCCCCGCCCCGCTCACCCAACCGTGATGGGTCCCCTTAGGAGATGCAGAATCTGTGGTCTCACAGACATTTTCAGAACCTCCCTTCCCAGCATCCTCTCCTTCCGGCCCCCCGTGGCCCCCCACTAGAGTGACAGCTGGCCTTAGCACCCCCTGTCCCCGGTTAGGGCAAGCAGGATGGCTGGTCTCCCTTCTCTCACCCCCTCTGCACCCCCCTACCCCCAACCCAGATCAAGTCCTCAGGCTCAGCTCTCCCTTCGAGCTGGACTGGGATTCTAGGGCTTGGGTTTGGGTCCAGGCTCTGCGCCTAACTGGCTGAGTACCCTGGTGGGTCTGTCGAACTTTCTGTGCCTGTTTCCCCACCTTCCAAGGGAGGATCACCGAGCCTGGAACCTAGCCGCTCTCAGCACAGCCCCCTCCCTGGGGGCTCACAGCTGAGAAGCCCATTCCTCTAGCGGGTTCCCCAGAGGTGGGGCCAGGGCAGCGCCCTTGACCAAGGAGAGGGGAGGCCTGAGCCAGGCCGGGGTAGGCAGCAGAGCCGGCCCCACCCTGTCTATCCCGGCTAGGGGTGGAGCACGGCTGCTCGCTCTCTGCCTCTGCAGAGCCATTTTCCAGAGAAGGGGCAGCTGTGAGGCTGCAGCAGCCACATTTCTGGCCACTGGGCGGGGGTCCATGACCTGTGGCGGCCAGCGGGGCCTGCACCGACAGCCTGCTGGGCGTAGGGGTTCAGCTGGGGCCCTCCAAGGGTCTCTGCAGCCTGTCCCCGGGTAAGAGCGCGCCCCAGCTTCGTCTCCAAGCCCACACAGGGGATGGCCTGGGCAGCGGCTGCCAGGGGAGGACGCCCTCGGCCCTCAGCCCGGGCCCTCTGCGGCCGACCTCGGACGCGCACCTGGCAGTGGCGCAGCACACGCAGCTTGTGCTCCGCTCCTGCAAGGGCTGTGCAGCCACGACGGCTTCAGCTGCCACCTGGCCCCGGAGCTGCTCCTGACCATCATGGAGGGCCGCAGCATCAAGCCAGGGCAGGTGGGCTGCCAGCGGGGGCAGTGCGCACACCGGGCCTCTTCACCGAGGCCCCCTGAGCTCTGGAGGTAGGAAGTCCTGAGGCTGCTCTTGGCCATTGGCTCTGGTCGGCAGGGCTGAGTTTTAGCCAGGCCCAGGTGTCCCCATCTGGCTGGACTCCTCAAGATCCCAGGCCCCTGCCACAGGCCATCAGAGGAGCACCCTGCCTCTGTCACAGCCTTGTCCAGCAAGAAAGAGAGAAAGGGGCCCCACTCCCACCAAGATTTTAACTGCCCTGGTCTGGCTTGGCCAACCTAGTCCACAGCCCACTCGGAAAGTGACCTTCCACAGCGACGGCCAGGCCCACTGGCCCCTTGAGCTGATGCCCGTTTTCGCACGAGCCTGCAGCAGTGGCGGGCTTAGCCCAGTTGGGGGCAGCCCCCTTGGGGCCTGCACACGTCCAGACACCCCACTGGCTGCCGGCAGGGACACCCTCCTGGAGGAGACTGGGCATGGGGGCTGCTCCAAGGATCTGGTGGCCCGCCCTCCCTGCACAGGTGGCCGAGATCCTGCAGGAGCTGTTTCAGGAGCTGCCCTGCATCATTTTCACGAGCATCCTGAGACCATAATGAAGGCCGTGATGGTGCTGGGCATGCAGCACACGCAGCAGACTGTCAAAGTGATTCGGTCCTTGTGCCCTCCCTCAGAGAGGTAGGTTACTTGCGCCCACGGCCCAAAGGTGAACACCCATCCGTCTCCGTGGCCCGCCCTCCAGTCCACAGATACTTTCCAAAAAGACTCGGTTCCTGAGAAGGCAGAACTGCCTGTGCACTCAGCCTGACCCTCCCCCACTATTGCCTAGACTCCAGAGCCAGGGCGGCCAGGGGTCTCTGAATATGCACCATGCTGAGGGGCTAAGGCAGAGTGTCCCAAGAGGGACCCCTTGGCATGGATGCATCCCTTCAGGCTCAGAGAGCTCCCAGGAACCAACCTGCAGAGGGCGGGGAGGTCAGCTGGGGAGCGTGACAGCACTAATGAGCCCCCAGCAGCTCCTGCCACTTCTCGGCCCTGAGCACCATGTCCCAGCCACCCCCTGGGCTAATGCGGGGTTTCCAGGAGCAACACTGTGAGGGCCATAGCGTCCTGTTAGAAACAGCCTCCGGCCAGCCCCAGGATAACTGAGTCCACAGTGGAATTCTAACCTGACTTGAGTGGTGTGTGAAATCTGAGGTCCAGGGGTGCTGGCAGTCACAGTGCCTCCTGAAGCACCTCAGGGAGCAGCAGCCTGCTGTGGGGTCAGCTGTGCCCCCCGACACTCACCTCAGGGCTCACCTGTCCCGCAGGCTGCTGAGGGGTGCACCCTGCTGGGTACGAGCCTCACTTTACGAGTGAGGGGACAGGCAGGAGAAGGACAAGGTTTGCTCACATCCTGGGTGATGGGATATGAGGCAGGGTTGAGTGTGAATACTGGGGAGAGCCAGCCCAGACAGAACTTAAAGCAGGGCCCCCCCTCCCACCATGGGTCACCAGAAGATAGCCCCTGGACCCCCCAGACTGGGGGCTTCCCTGATCCTGCAGGGCCTGGCTACCTCCACTGCCCTGCTGCCCTGGGGTTGTGTCCCGGTGGCCCCTCGCCCAGAGCAGCCAGCCAGCTGGCGGGACTGATCCCCGCCTCCCCAGGCAGGTCACGCCCCTGTGGAAGGCCCTGGCCACCAACAGCCGGCTGGCCTGCAAGGTCGTCATGAAGTTGAAGCTGCGGCTGCCCCGGGAGCTCATCAAGGCCCCTGTGCAGGCCGAGCTTGTTTCCCTGCTGGTGAGCCCTTCCCCTGCACCCCACCCCCTGCAATGGAGTCTGACATCCGGGGACCCTGGGGAGGCCAGGGTGGTCTGGCAGAGGGACGCCCTGGATGCTGAGTCCCAGGGTGGGGCCAGCTCAAGCCTGGCACCGGACCGTCCTCAGGGACCAAGGGCAGTGCCTGTGCTGCTGCAGGCCCTGGGCACCCTTTACAAACGTCTCACCATACATGAGTACAAGGCCACGGTGCGCTGGGCCTTCGCAGGGATCCTCCTGGGCCTTCTCACCCAGCTCCACTACCTGTTAGAGCTGGATATGGTGGAGGGCATGTCCGACTACCAGGAGGAGGCCTTGGAGGCCAAGGCCCTCAGCCCCTGCAGGTCAGATGCGAGACTCAGCCTCCGGGCACAGCCCCCTCTCAGGACCCGAGCCCATACTTTCTTTCTGGCTCCTTCCACTCACCCCTAGAAGCCCTGGTGGGCAAAAGGACCTGGGCTAAGGCCTGGGGACCCACCCAAAAAGGACAAATCTGGTCCCTCCTGGGGGTCCAGGGAGGGTAGCAGGGGGCTGAGCAGCAGACAGCTGCTCAGGAGGGACGGGTGGAAGGAGGCCGCTTATCCCACCCAATTAGGGGAGCGCAGGTTATGCTGGAGAAGTGGGCCCTTGCCCTCATTCACCCCCTCTCAAGACCCTCCTTGCCCCTAGGACATGCCTGGAGGTCCTAAAGGGTCTCTTCTGGACCACCAATTACCGGGAGGTGTTTGCCCACCTCAAGCTGCTGAGGGGCTGGGAGATCTTTGAGCACCTGGAAACCTACACTGAAGGGGTGACCCTCCTGGCCAGGTAAGCTCCAGGCCTGGGAGGGGCCTGCCCCAGACCGCACCCGTGATGGCCCCCCCCCCCCCCCCGATCTTCCTATACAGAAATGTCATCTATAGCGGTGGCAAGAAGTTCCAGCAGGCGCTCAAGAGCCGCGCCTTCCAGGCCCTGGTGCCGCTACTCCTCCACCTGGCCCACCCCTGCCCTGAGGTGGTCACGGTGAGTGGTCTGGCTTGCCTGTCGTCGTCCGCTCGCGTTGCAGTTGTAAACTGCCCCAGACGTTGTCGCTGAGACCCTGGCCTGGGCCCTGGAAGGGCCAGCGCCCCGAGGCCGCTCTCCGTGGCGTGTGGATGGTCGCCCTCTCCCTGTGTCCTCACGCGGAGGCCCCTCCGTGGGCGCCTGTGTCCCGACCCCTCCTCTTATCAGAGCAGCAGTCATGTTGGCTCAAGGCCGCTGTCGGACCTCGCTTTAACTCAGTCACCTACCTAAGGGCCTTTTCTCCAAATACATTCACACCCTGAAGTCCTGGGGTTTAAGACTTCAACACATGGATCTTGGTGACACAATTCTGCGCATCTCGGGGACACAGGGACACAAGGACTCTCTAAAGGAGTCATGAGACCAGGGTCCATGGCTGGTGGGGGCTGGTGAGCAAAAGGCCAACACTTTCCTTGGGTGCCTAGCCCCTGAACTGGGAGATGCACTCAGGGTTGGGAAGGAGGCCTGGGTGGCCAAGGCACCACTGGAATCCTCCTGTGAATGACAGCAGGACACCTGCTGGTCTCGGGGAGTGAAAACTCTGCCACGGGGGCCCCACTTCATGCCATGGTGCAGCTCCCCTGAGGTACAGCTGGGAGGGGGTGCTTGCCGGGCCCAGGAGGGTGCAATGTTGGGGTGGTGACCTGTCTCTGGGCACCCACAGAAGACAAAGTTAACCTTCTTGCGCTGTGCCATCCTGCTGAAGTGGGAGTTCCAGAAGGAGCTATTCAGCAAGTTGGCTTGGGGTCATGGCCCAGGCGCTGAGAACGACATTTTTATCTACACGGTGAGATGCTGGGCTCCCCTGGGGGAGGGGCAAGGAGGCAAGGGAGGTGGAGACGGGCTGGGTGCCAACAGGGTCCCCCGAGGGGTTCCCAGAGTCGGCAGGGCAGATGCCAGCACTCCCTTGGGTGCCCCTGCCTCATTTCCTGTGGGTGGGTGTTTATTAGATGCCGGCTCCATGTTGGGTTGGAGACTTCAGCCCCTGGGAGGACGCCGTTACCTCTCTGCCGTGGCACTCAGGGCCTCCAGGGTGGGTCACGCAGGAGACCACACCCCGCCAGGGGTCTGGACCAGGAAGCCCTGCCAGCAGCAGCCCCACACCGCTGTGGAGAGGCCCTGGGGGACACGGCCACCCCTGACGTCCCAGTGCGGACGTCGGGCAGGCCCTGTAGGTCCCAGCACCGGCAGTGGACCAGACCCCCACCTGGCGTGGAGGAGATGTGTGTGGAGGTGGACGTGGACAGGCTGGGGAGAGCAAGAGATGCTGCAGCTCCACAGCTCCGTGTTCCAGGCCCAGGGCGATCCCTGCCCCGGCTGGCCCTGCCCGCCCAGATGCGGCAGCTGCAGGCTCCAGGCGCAGACAGTGCCCCGCTCCAAGGCCCGGAGGAACAACAGGACACTGAATCCCCGTGCATGCGCCTCTGTCCAGAGGAGACCAACAGACCCGCCCGCACCCTGCGGACTCTGATGGCCCAAAGTGTTCCCAGAGGGGCAGAGACCATTCCTGGGAGACATCTGGAGCTGCAGCCCTGCCAGGGGTCCAGATTCCCTGCCTTGGACCAGCCCTGGATCCGCCCTGGACCCAGCCCGGGGTCATGGCCCTCACCCTTTCAGGCTTGGAAGGCAGGACCAGGGAGCATGAGGGCCACTGCCCATTGCTCACCCGTCTCCTTCCCCACCACCCCAGGTGGAGAGCAACTTCAACAGCTACCACCAGTTTCTGATGCAGTGGCTGGTGTACATACATGGACAGCCCCAACAGGCGCCTGAAGCTCACAGCCATGAAGTTCATTGGTAGGTGTGGCCATTGCCCGATCCATGTGAAGCCGCTGTCCCGGGCCCTGAGGTCCACTGGGTCCGCCTGCCCCTTGTCCTTGCCTGCCTCCCTCAGCGGCCCCCACCCTCCCCCCTGCAGGGGGCATCCTGCAGGTCTACTTCACCGATCTCTGCTTCTACCTGAAGAAGTGCGACATGAAGACTCTCGAGAAATGTAAGCACAGGGCCACCCTGAGCCGCATGGGAACTGCCCTGATGCTGGAGTGGCCTCAGCCCCTCCCCAGGGCGGGCCGTCATCTTCCCCTTGAGAACTGATCCCAGGACAGGCCGTGACCTACCGACCCCCCCACCCACACCCTACGTGGGCCCTGGGGACAGGCTGTGACCCCCCCGTACCGCTCTGATGGAGCCCCCAGAAGGGCAGTGTCCTCAAAGACCAGATTCCCAGTGCAGGTCCTGTCCCCTCCCTCTGTGCTTGCCCTCCGCACCACGGCCAGCTGTGCGGCGGCTGGAGGACCCTTGGGTCTCTGCTGCCAACTTTGAGACGCTCAGGCAGGACCCGGACTCCGTGAGCCGCAAGTTCTTCAAGCACTTCTCCGAAGACATCGCAGAGCTGTCGCAGTGCGTCATGATCTGGATCAGCCTGGGGCTGCCGATCCTTGCAGTTGGTTTTGTTGTATTATGTTGTGTTTTTTGGTTCTGTATTAAATATGAAGAGTTTCTTCTGGACTCTCTGGGCTCTTCCTACCCCGAGCCCTCCTGGTGCCCCCTCTTCAGCCAGGGCCCGGCAGCCTCCCCTTCAGACCCAAATGCTGACTGGCCCTGGACCCAAAGGGCCAGCAACACAGGGTCCTCAGCATCTCGGCTGGGCGTCTCCTTTGGCTGCGTGAGCCAGGCGCTCCCCAAGGGCACTGGGCCTGGAGCCTCAGGGGTCACCTTGGCACCCCCCCTCACTCATCCCCAGCCTTTCCAGATCCCATGATGCTTCCTCCCAGCTGCTGAAATCTTCCACGTGCCTCACCCTGGTCCAGGCCCTGAGCTCCCCACCTTCCTGTGCCGAGCCCCTGCTGAATGAGCATCCCACCCCTGCCCATCCTGCCCTTAAGCATCCTGTTTAAGTCCGAAGCGTGGCCCCGGGACCCTCGGCGATTTGGTCCCCACCTTCCACTGCCTTTTGGTCGAGGTCTGCCCCCTGCCTCTGCAGAGCCTAGGGGCCCTGCCCAGCCCTGCCCAGGGCGGCCATCCTTCCCAGCCCAGACTTCACCTCTTCCCCTGCGAGGTCTTCCCTCTGCCAGGGCCCAGGTGGGAGTCTCTGGCTGTGCCCAGCGAGGAACCTGAGCGTCAGCAGTTGGCGGGGTGGGTGGCGTGGAGCCACAGGAGCCAAGGGCAGAGTGTATCTTCAGAGAGAAGGGGGAGTGGTGGGCAGTGTGGAGTGCTCCCAAGGTTGGGGGTAAAAAAATTTTTTTTAATTAAAAAATCATGCTTTGCAAAAGATACTGTTGAAAGATTGAAGAGACCTGTCAGAGACTGGAAGAAAATACTGGCAAAACATGTATCTGATAAAGGATATCTAAAACATACGAGGAACTGAAACTCAGCGATAAGAAAATCAACACTTCCGTGTTTCTCTTGTGTGACGGTTGTGAGAGTCTCAGTCCAGACCTCACCCCAGTCCTACTTGGCTGTGAGAGTCATACGTTGCTGAAACTCATCAAATGCTTAAAATGGGTGATGCTTATTATATATACTTTGTATCTCAATAAAGTTGAATAAAAATATAAAATTCAAGAGCACACATCACAGTTTTTACGCACAGAAAATGTTATGTATAGCATCATATAATCTGTGGTACACGTTCGGCAGTATTTTTTATTAAAAGAAACCATGTCAAGAAAAAAAAAGAGAGATAGCAGATCAGATGCACACATAGCAACCCAGATGGATCTTTGAGAAAAAAATACGCTTAGTGGAAAAAAGTGAAAAACAAAATTGAGATATATAGCAATATAATTTAAATAAATTTAAAATATGTACCCTTTTATACCGTGGTTATAGAAGATGTTCACATTACAGGAAGCTTGCAAAGGGTGTAAGGAACCTCTATACTATCTCGGCAACTCTTCTGTAAGCTTATTTCAGAATAAAAAGCTTTTAGAAAACACTTATTTTTTTCCTCCCTAAGAGCACTTACAAACAAAAAAGGCACATTAACTAAATTAGAGTAGTTGCTTATAGGTTGGTGGGAGGATTATGGGGACAAAGAAGAATAAATAAACACGTTAATAAGCCAGAGTGGGACTTGCGTGGGCAGTGGTGATAACGTGCCAGACCTTAATCCTCTGTGGAAAGAAGGGTTTACCATCAACAGATTGAGGGGCTTAGGAAAACATACTCCAGGAGGAAGGAGGAATGAAACCTAAAATACCCTGGTGCGACAGAGTGATTTATAATAAACACATACTTGGTCTTCCCTTCTCTGGCACAGAGCGCCCCAAACCCTTGCAAGGTCATAAGTGATGAGGTTTAAAGTCTTTTTGCATGTCAAAGAGGTGGTTTCTGGACCCACCAGAGGAGAGGGCTGGCTGCCAGAAGAATCAATCTTGGGACAGAGGGAACTGTGAAACTACCCCCGGCTCTGGGGAGGGGAGAGGGGCTGGAGGTGGCATCTACGGCCAAAGGCCAGGGCTTTGATCAGTCCATTCTCTGTGACGAAGCCTCCATGCAAGCCCAAAGGCAGGGATTTGGAGAACGTCCGCAATGGTGAACATGTGATGATGGATAAGAGAGATGGAGGAAGCTCCAGCCCTTTCCCCAGGCTTTCTCCGTGCATCCTCCATCGGGCTATTCCCGAGCCTTGTCCTGCCATCATAACCAGGGATGCAGCGAGCAAAATGCTGCTCTGAGTTCTGCGAGCAGCCCTGGCATATCCACCAAACCCAAGCGGGAACCTGGGAGCCCTGAATCACAGCTGTTGCTCAGAGCACAGGTGACAACCTGGACCTGAGGCTGGTGTCTGAAGCGTGTGTGGAGGGGGTAGCCGTGTGGGCCTGAGGCCTTAACCGGTGGGACCTGCCACTGCTGCAGAGAGAGGGTCAGAGCTGAGCTGAACTGGAGGACCGCCAGCTGATGCGTAGAGCACGGCCTGCTGGTGGTGTGGGAGAAACCCCCGTGCACACCTGTGAATCGGAATCGGAATCCAGTGAAGTGGTGAGCCAAGAGACTGTTACACACATAAATAAATATAACCAAACGCTGTCTGTTTTTAAAAAAGATAATGCCGTGCCTGCGTGCTCAGTTGTGTCCGACTGTTGGTGACCCCATAGACTGTAGCCTGCCAGGCTCCTCTGTCCATGGGGCTTTCCAGGCAAGAATACTGTAGTGGGTTGCCATTTCCTTTTCCAATTTGCCATTTCCTTTTCCATGGGATCTCCCCGACCCAGGGATCAAACCCACATCTCCTGTGTCTCCTGCATTGCAGGTGGATTCTTTACCCGCTGAGCCATCAGGGAAACCCCCCAAAGATAATAATACCTAACTAAAGGCAGTAGAAAAATACAGAATGAAAATAATAATAGAAACTATTACCATGTAAGCCCCAAGAAAGTAAGTGTACCAAGGTCCTTGTGTTGTATGAAAGGGGGGTTAATATATTGATAAATTTTGGTCCTTAAGTCAAATAACTGGTTATATCTCAACATCTCAAAGGTAAGCTGAAAGGAAACAGAATCTGTATAGTTTACCAACCAATAAAAGATAAAAGTGGACTAAAAATAAATGTGTTAAATGTAACCACTCCAAAAATCAAGAAACAGGATTTTTTTTTTAAAGTACAGTGAAAACAGGGCAAATATAGAACACTAAAGAATATGGGGAAACAAGTCCAAAGATGTTGGTAATTACGAAAAATATGATTAAAACACAAAGCCCAGAGCCTGTTCTTTATAAACTGAAACACAAAAGGAGACAGAGAAGGCACAGCTCAAACAACTGGGGACTACAAAGGGGACCCACATAGACTCCTCAGAAATCAAAAAGGTGAGAACAAGATGAGCCATTCAGTTCTAATACATTTGAAAACATAGTTGGAATAGGTGGATTTCTGAAAATATACAGCGTGATAAAAGTGACTAAGGAAGAACTAGAAAGCCTGACTAGTTCTATAATTAAATGCTGATGAGCAGGACTAGTTAAGGGGAGCCAGGGAGGCAGATTCCTGGAGACGGAGGTGGAGACGGAGTCAGGGTGGGGGCGGGTCCCGGCTGGAGAAGGAGCAAGGAGCAGCGAGGTCGCCCTCCTGCCTGAGACCCCTGTCAGGGCCAGGCCGGGGGCCAGGTGGGATGGACCTTCCGTTGTGCCCGGGGCCAGCGCTCTGTTGTCAGTTGACCCGAGCAACTGTCAGCTGTGTTGTCAGTTGCCCGGAGCGTTGACAGTTGCCCTGAGCTCGGGGCACCACTGACTCGTTCCTGCGACTCCGAGCAAGTTGCCCAGCCTCCCTGCAGGCCAGTCTCCTCCTCTGAGAAGGGGGATGTGAGTAACAGCACTGGATGCCTGCCGTCCTGCCCTCTGTCCCAACAGGGAGTCGTGTGAAGGCTCAGGTCCTCACTGAGGGCCACCTTCTCTGGGAGCCCTGCACCCACTGCGACAGTCTCTGCAGGTCTGGGGTGCACGGTGGGGACAGCGTCGATGGGCCACACAGAACACTGGAGCAGCTTGCCTGGACTGAGCCCGCCTCGGCCTCGACTGCCCGGGGCGGCCCCGCCCCTGACGTGGGCTTCCGGCCCGCAGCCCGCCCCGCCTCGTCTGTCCTGCCCGCTCCGCTCACTGTGCTGCCCCTCTCCCCTGCGCACACCCGCAGCAGGTAGAGGTGGCCTGTGCCACCTCCCTGTGTGCTCTGGTGGGCTTGCTCCCCAGGTTCTCTCAGTACCCCAGCTGTTGGGAGAGCAGGCCCCAGGTGCCTGCTGGGGCTCGGGGTGGCCCCTACTCTACGGGGGACCAGACCCCCAGGCCAAAGCCTGATGACTCCGGGGGCGCTCAGGACTGGGGAGGAGCGAGGACGGGGAGCTCTAGCCAGACTGGGGCAGAAGAGCCTCCCTCTCCTCCCCAGGGCTGATACCCCATCAGCAGCCTCTGAGCCTGGGTTCAGAAGGCCCACCTGGGTGCCCAGCTACCCACCCCGCCCCCCCGCAGGCTCAGCCTGGCCCATCCCTGGGGGGACCATGCCCCTGTTCTGGCTGCCTGCGCTGGCTCTCAGGGTCCCACCCTCTCCTCCTAAGAATCAGCACCGAGCCCCACCCTGTCCCTCCCCTTCCCTGCCCTGCACCCCTGCCCCTCCCCTGCCCTGCCCTGCACCCCTGCCCACCCTCCTCCAGCCCGGAGCTGGCCTTTAGCGGGGACTGGGGTGGAGGCTGTCAGTCGCTTCCCCGCTAGGGGCTGGGGGCCTCTGAGCCTGGAAAGGATCTGAGGGCGTCTGGAAGGACACAGGAGCGAGGCAGGGCACGGGGCTGGCAGACACAGAGAGCTAGTGAGTGGACAGGTCCCCGAGGTCATGGGCAGCCCAGCTGTCCTGGCACCCCGACCTCTAGGCCACCCCCACCTACTCTCTGCCCCCGAAGGATCTCCGATTGACATAGTGAGAGAGAGCCCATGGGGGCGCCGCCTTCTGCCTCTTCCCAACTCCTTTTCGGGGTGGGGTCCATATGGTGTTCCCAGGGAGCCATCTGAGCCCAGCC